AGTTTCAAAAAAAAAAAAAAAAAAAAAAAAAAAAAGATACTTCTATCTGAGCCACATAATCCACATTCTTCATAGTCATGTGGTGTTGGCTCAAACCCAAAAGATAATATTGTGGTTGTAATCTAACTGTACGTATATACATTATGAACGTAGACTTGTTATATATATGAGTGATAAATATATTAAAACTGTAACTTAGACAAATGTATATACGTGACTATAAGCTAGATAGATAGTGATCAGTATATATTAACAGCCTATTAAGATTCTGGGGTTCCTTATCAATAAATAATAAAACTCAGTTAAGAAAAGTCAAAACTTACTTGCATTCGCCAGAAGAGATCACTGCAACTTTTAACACGAGAACGATTGGCCAAGAAACTCCGGCGAGCTTCTTCGACGGCGGCTCGTTCCTCCGGTGTACCGGCTTTGGGATCAAACTCCCATGTTTGACGTCCCACGAAGTTGTTGCTGCTTGACAAGTAAGGGTCTTTCACATTTCCCTCTCCTATCTTTAACTTCCACATAACGACGACAATGATCCTATGCATACGTACATCACAAAGATAGAGATACTCACTGAGTTCATTCAAACAATCATATGATGTTATAAATGTAAGTAAGTTTTGACTAGCTATATTTACAGGCACATACATATATGTATATATATATATATATATATATATATTTATACATAATCTGGTTTTGATATGCATTTGTACTGAAACAGACCTCGTGTAATGAATATGAGTAGAGGGGATGAAAGAGATGAGCGAGATTACTTGTGGTGAGTCGATGTTTGCTTTACGATCGATTATTAGATAGTCTGGACGAGGTCTTGTTTATATAGAATAGAGGTGAAGAATTTAATGTTACTCCATCTGTTTCCAATTACGGGTGGCTCTCTCTTGTTTTTTTGTCAACGTGTACAGTTGCATTATTGCTTTTTGGAGTAACATAAACGAATTCACGAAAAGAAACACTAGTAATAAATAACAAACTAGATTTTGACCCGCGCAACTGCGCGGGTGTTTGTTTTCGTTTATAGTTAGTTATATAAACATTTTGTTTTCACTTGTAAATTGGTATACATTATAGTAATGACATATTTACGATATGTATAGTAAATGTTTTTCAAACATAATAATATTATATAATACGTGTTTTAATCAAATAGTTTGTTTCTAATTTTCTATATTACACATGTTTTCAAACATGTGTTTGTTTTTTCTTCTGCATTTTATTGTTTGTTAGATTAATATTTCATTTTTAGATAAAGTAATATAAATAGAGCTTGAATAAATATTAGTATACTTTATTTTGCAAAGATAATATAAACTTCAAATAATTTTTTGTTAAAAACTAAACTTATAGCCTCATAAATTAATATTATAAAAAATTTTATTAAAAAGAAATTTTGTAAACAATATAATTTTGACCCGCGCAACCGCGCATGTATTTGTTTTCTGTGTATAAGTAGTTATATAAACATTTTGTTTTCACTTGTAAAATTGGTATATATCATAGTAATCACATATTTACGATATTTATAGTAAATATTTTTCAAACATAATAATATTATATAATACAATGTTTTAATCAAATAGATTATTTCAAATTTTCTATATTATACATGTTTTTCAAACATGTGTTTGTTTCTTCTTCTATATTTTATTGTTTGTTAGATTAGTATTTCATTTTTAGATAAATTAATATAAATAGAGCTTGATTAAATATTAGTATACTTTAATTTTCAAAGATAATATAAACTTTGAAGAATTTTTTGCTAAAAACTAAACTTATAGCTTCATAAATTAATATTATAAAGAATTTTATTAAAAATAATTTTTTAAAACAATATAATTTTAAAATTTTACATCGAAATAAATTTATCTAGTATATATAGCGTGTAAATTTTTTTAGGGTATATAAATATTCCATATTACGAATCTATGATTTTGTTAATATACTATTATTGACATATTTCCTTATAAATAATAGTAGATTCCTAAACTTATATCTATTAACATATTTTGTGTGACTAAGTTGGAAGGTGTGTGGCAATTTACCAAAACCAAATTGTTAAACGTATCTTTGTTATTATAGATATGATTTTTCATAAGATATAATAATGATAAAATTATTAGAGAGTTAATGTAACATGACTTTCTAGTAATAGTCCATTTTTAAAAAAATCACACATGAAATCAAGTCATGACTTCTGTTTTAATATATAAGATGTGTCGACATAAAAATAATAGTAAATGAAGTCACAATCATCAGACTTCATGAACCAATATCATATCTACTAAGTAAAGTTTTTATTAAATCATTTAGCTCCCATACTCCCAAAATCACATTTAAGAAATGGTATGGCCCATCTGATTAGTTCACGACTATATTTATTACAAGGTTCTTAAGATAAGGGTTTTAACCGGAATTAATAAACCATTTCTTAATTTCAGTTAAAAAAATTAAGAACCAATTTTTAAATAAAATATTTAAGAATCGGCTTTTAATTTTTTTAGTTGAAAATTAAGAGATGGTTTCTAATTCTACTAAAAATCTCTACTCTAAAAATCTTACAATAAACATACTCTAAAAGATGTAAAACATGATTAAACAATATAACAATAAAATTGTGTATCGTCTTCTTTATGTAAAAAACTAGAAAGAACTAGTATAAAACTCTACGAGATGGTTAGAGCATAATTATCGCACAAAATTTTAATGGGGTTCTTTTTTTATTTTTTATTTTTAAATTATTTTATCTAAAAGAAAAATAAAAAAAAACAGTCATATGCTGCCACGTGTCGGTAAGACCTGCGAACAGTTGAAAAAACCCTCCAACATCAGCTCTTATTTGGCGAATTGTGAAACCGTTCTTTACCATTTTGTGGGTCTTCTCCGAGGAAACTGCGATAAAAATGACCTTATGAAAAATATGATTGAACATTACAATATTAGTTAAAAATTATAAATTATCGCCCGTTTCATTTCATGAAGAATCTCTTTTAACATTTTCACACAATATTGCTGATAAAACAAGCATTATATGTTCTTGATTTCGCGAGTGTGTAGAGTAGATACAACTAAATAATGAACATTGTACCTTAGTTTTTTGTTTCTGTTGGTTTTAACGTACGACTCACGATCATTGAAACCTTTTGATTAGAAGCAATTCGCAGATAAAAACACTTGTTCATATAGGAAGAATAATATACATTTTAACAATCAAGAAAAAAAGACAGGTTCTAGGACTTGTTTCGTTATGTGTTTTAACTTGTACTTTCATTTTGATGTTAAAAGGACAATAATCTTTTGCAAAACTGTGTATTTTTATTTTATCATGGTATCATCTATACCATGTGTTTTAAACTTGTACTTTCGTTTTGATTATTTTCAAGAACTGGGTCGAGGACTCGAGATAGTAATTAATCATTAGTTCTTTTGAACCGTATGTAAATAAATCCCAACTGTTAATACACATTTGACGATTACAGAATTTGTTTTGAAAACTTAGTGTGAACTTTACATAATCAAAACTAATACAAATATCAAAGTGTTAGTGAGTTAGTACTTTTGTGTGTGTTTAGATTCAAGTTTCATTAGATTAGAATTTGTAAATGCTGGATCTGACCAATTAGGGCTGGGCAATGCTTTGCAAATTTCTTGCCTTACTCTATTATTTGCTATTTACGAGTACTTGTGAGCTATTTACGATTTTTTTCAAAATATTTAAGAACTACTTACTAAATAATTCTCTATTAGAAATAATCACGAAAGTTTATTTTGTTTATTCTACTTAAAACAACATGTAAATTACTTTAAACGGAATAATTGTTCACATTATAAAGAAGACAAATTAAAAAATGCATATTACAATATATAAACATTGTATAATTTTACCGATAACAAAAATGTCTTCTCTAAATAAGTAACATGTAATAACAAATTATATAACGAGACTTTTAATACTTGTCTTATGTAATACTTGACTAGGCGATGACAAGTATTTAAAAATCAAGATGGATACGAAACAAGTAACAAATATAAGAAGAGTAATGAATATGTTTCCAATCCTAAATGCAAGTAAAATAAAAGATAAATATGAATAAATAATTAATAAGTCATGTAACAAATATCAAGTAATAGAGCAAGTAACGGGGTGTAACAAGTTAAATACAAAAAATATAATGGTACTTGATATTCGACTTAGTCGTGCAAGTAATGAAAATTGTCGCCTTGTTACTTGCCTTGACAACATCGAATACTTGAATTTTTAAGACGGATACGAGTCGAATAACGAGTTTAAGGCGAGTAACGGGTAATTATGCCCAGCCCTATGAGCAACATGGAAGAAATTACGAATGTAAGGTCATGAATTTCTGGTTCAAAATAAAAAAAAATCTAATCCAAGTACATAGTATATAATACATGTATCAGTCAGCATTTAATCACACTGTTGGCTGGTCTAACCATAACACTACGTGTACCGTGCTAGATGTGGAGTAATGGATAGATGTCATCATCTTAGGTCGTTAATATGAGAGGACATGGTTCGCCTGCATAATGTGGTGCGCACATGATCGTTAGGCTCTTAATGTAGTAAACTGACAAAAGCATACGTAGTTAGAGTGAGGGAGAACTAACTCAATTTGCCAATCACTCGAATCAAACGCTTACACACGGCAACATGTGGTCCCATGCAGAGAGCTTTGGTCTATAATACTTAGAGCAACATTATAGGGAGTCCATAGTCCTTGATGTGACTCGTTGGTGGTATGGTAAGTTAAGTGCGACCGTATGTCTCTAACTCCTTATACGGCGTTTTATTTGTCTTCCAGCCACTAAAATGTATGTTTAATGTTACTATTTAACTTTAGAACAAAAAAAATGTTATTATTTTAACTCTTAAAACTATATTTTTTGTTTTAATTTTTTCTTTTTTTCTTTTTTTCTTTTTATATTTGTGCTTTTTTGAAATTTTTTTTTTTTTTTTGAGAAATCCATAAATCTATTTTTTTAATATAGGTATCTATAACTGTTTAATTAAAAAGGAATCATGATTTTTATGTGCAATAAAAAAAGAAAATAATATGTGGTCTAATAAATAAAAAAAATAAATATTTGGATATAATATTATAAATTGGTCATGATCATATTTTAATCGAATAGATAGAAATAATTTTGACTACGGAAATTTGAGTAAATTTGAATAATTTGAATATAAAATTTCGAATCAATTGATATTTTTGGTTAAAAATATACTAAATCGTATAAAATTTCGAATCAATTGATATTTTTTAATAGTCTATAACAAATATCTAAGTTAATACACTACAAGAAAACACGTCCTTTACTAGGACGGGTTTTCCTCGTTGTTTCCTAGTAAAAGGCCCTTTACTAGGAAATAACGAGGAAACGCGTTTCGTCGAAAGACGTTCATCGTAAAACCTATTTTCCTCGTAAAGGCCTAGCTAATTTACGAGGAAAGGTTTCCTCGTAAAGCCATGGAAAAGATTTCCTCATAAGGTCAACGTATACTTTCCTCGTAAGGGCATAGTAAACCAATTCCTCGTAAACTCGTAGTAGACTGTTCACGAGGAGTTTGCTAGGAAAGTTTACGACGAATTTACTTCGAAACTTTTACGAGGATTTTACTTCGAAACAATTTTTTCCTATTAAAAAAAAATATTTATAAATTAAAATTATATATATTAAAAAAATTAAAAAAAATAAATAAAAAAAATATTTATAAATAACTAAATAATATACAATTAATAAGTTTTAAAATTCATA